GCTTTCCATCTCTGACTAAAACTCATTTATTTTCAGCCCCCTTACTTCTTTTATTTTTTGTGGTGCTGGAGATTGAACCCAGGGCCTTGTGCATGCAAGGCGAGCACTCTACTAACTGAGCTATATCCCTGGCTGACTCCCTTATTTCTTTTTAACTGCAGTTTACCTCTATCTGTATCCTCATAATATCTTTCTTTCTTCTTGAACTCTCATTCCATGCCATCTTTTTGTCAGCATTCTGTTGAGACACATTTTAATCTATTACCTCTTTGTTTTAAACTCATCTGTACTTTCCTTGATCAGGTCCTGGAATCTTCAGCTGTTTGTCTTATAGGTTAAAAATTTATGCCTTTACTAACATTGGTACTGGAGAGTGAATTCAGAGACACTCAACCACTGAGCCACATCCCTGACCTATTTTGTATTTTATTTAGAGAAAGAGTCTCACACCAAGTTGCTTAGCACCTCGCTTTTGCTGAGGCTGGCTTTGAACTTGTGATCTTCCTGTCCCAGCCTCCCGAGCTGCTGGGATTACAGGCTTGCTCCATTGTGCCTGGCTTGACTAACATTTTTTAAAAAGTTAATATCCATGGTAAATATGATACTCCAATAAAAAACATTGGCTTTAAAATAAGAACTTCAAAACTGAAAAATTACATATTTCAGTGGAAAAGACATGAGATTAAATAATTGAGAGGAGAAACTTTCACACATTTTTCAGGAATCATTTTTGTGCTGCCTATCTTTTTAGTAAGTATTAGAGCAAAATGGGGCATTTAGAATGCAGCTCTTTGAAACTGGATTTTAAAAGTGTGTTGAGTTTTTTTGATACTGGGGATTGAACCAGGGATGCCACATCCCCAGCCCTTTTTATTTTTTATTTTGAGTCAGGGTCTCACTATGTTGCTTAAGGTCTGACTAAATTGTTGAGGCTGGCCTTGAACATGTGATCCTCCTGCCTCAGCCTCAAGTTGCTGGGATTACAGGGTGTTTACTACCATACCTGGCATGTATTTTTAAAAAATAACTTTTAACATGTGCTTTCAGACTTTTTCAGAGGTCCCACAGTATCAAATATTCGCCTGGCTGGATTAGAATATGTTCTGCACTTCACTGCACTGAATGGGAAGATTTACTTTCGAAGCTATAAGTAAGTACATTTCTTAGCATGTTTTTCTTAATTCTCAGGGTTAGCATGTTAGTGTGACTGTTTTATAGGGCTCAAGCAAAATTGGCATCTGCTCAAGAGTTTGGAGAGTCTGCAGAATAGTAATGGCAGCAGCTTTGTGCTGACACTCCAACAGGATGAGATTAGATCCTGCTAATCTTTGCCTCTGAAACTCTAGTTTTCCAGGGTCCTGGTCCATCTAATACTGCATGCTGTCTGAGTCTGGAACACTAACTCAGGAATGATCTTCTTTAGCTTTATCTCTTTATAGGTTTTGTGTTTGTTTGATTGGTACTGGGAAGTGAACCCAGTGGTACTTTATCACTGAGCTACTCATGCCCTTTTAACTTTTTTGTTTTGAGATAGAGTCTCACTAAGTTGCTTAGGGCCTAATTAAATTGAGGAGGCTGACCTTGAATTTACTATTCTCTGGCCTCTGCCTCCAGGGCCCCTGGGATTATGTATGTGCACCAAGGTGCTCAACTTCTTTATTGTTCTTAACTGGATTTAGAAAACAAAGCCACAAATCAGGCCAGCCAAAACAAATTTCAAAATTGTAACCCCCCCACCCACCCAAAGGCATAGACAGAGGTTTAAATAGGAAAGTAGATACATACTCAAGAGAAAATGGGGTGGCTATCAGTCTCAAAAGATGAGATGCCTTTGGGGTACAGCAAGGAATACATACTCAAGGGAGAATGCAAGGGATAAGGGATAATCCAGAAGGAGATAGGCCCTAAATCCTAAATCTTTTTAAAAACTATAGTCCAGCAATAAATATAAATCCTAACAAGCAGATTCTGTTTTTATTAAAGAGCTTAATGATGTGCTGAAATTATCTTTTGAGGTAAGCATGCCTTTTTTCTTCTTTGTAAAAAAATGAAACATTGGCACTGGCTGATAGAGCCTCACTTTCCTAGAAATTGGGCTGACTCTCCAAACTGCCTTTCTTTGTACAATGAATTTTGTTTCTGGACATTTTGAGCAGTGGCCTGGTAATACAGCCTGTAAGCTAGCGGCTGAGTGTTGACGGTATCTTCTGTTCAGCAGTACTATTGTACAATCATTTATGTCTAGAATTTCAAACAGAGAGTTTTGGTTTGTTTTGGTCCAATTTTTTGGGAGATGGAGTCTTTTTTGTTTTTTGGTAGTGGTAGTTGTAGATGGACAGAATGCCTTTATTTTATTTGTTTATTTTTATGTGGTGTTGAGGATCGAACCCAGTGTCTGAAGCATGCTAGGCAAGTGCTCTGCCACTGAGCTACAGCCCCAGCCCCAGGGAGATAGAGTCTTGCTGTGATAGCTCAGCTAGCCTCAGACTCCTGGCCTCAAGTGATCCTCCTATCTCAGTCTTCCAAGTGTTGAGACTTAAAAGTATTCACTGCCACTCCTGGCTAAGATGATTTTCATTTTTATTCATAACAAAAAGAGGTAGCTGAATAACTATGTCTAATGACATATCCAAATGAAAATAAATATTCACCTCTTGTTTAATAATTTTCATCATGATCTCAGAAATACTTACTTAGTTTTTCCCACCATATGACTAATAGTACCACTTATGCTTTTTCCTTTCATTGAAAGTAAAATAATAGGAACTGGGGATGTAGTCAAGTGTTACAGCACTATCCTAACATGCGTGAAGCTCTTGTCCCAATCCCTACCACTACATACACACAAAAAAATAATAATAAGGCAAAATACAATAAAATATCTATTAATTGCAAGATACAATTAAGAGTTGTTTTTTTGGGGGGGAGTATACTGGGGATTGAACTCAGGGCACTTAACCACTGAGCCACATCCCTGACCTTTTATAGATTTCATTTTAAGACAGGGTCTTGCTAAGTTGCATAGGGCCATGTTGAGTTGCTGAGGTTGGCTTTGAACTCACAAGTCTCCTGCCTCAGCCTTCTGAGCTGCTGGGATTACAGGCATGTGCCACTGAACCTGATGGAACTTTGCCATTATTTTTTAGCTAGTTAAAATTGAAGTTTTTTTTTTTTTTTTAAGTCTGTTATTTGCATTTCCTCACTTGATTTGGGGGCTTTCAAGAATGTATTATAGGGGGGCTAGGGATGTGGCTCAAGCGGTAGCACGCTTGCCTGGCATGCCTGGGTTTGATCCTCAGCACCACATACAAACAAAGATGTTGTGTCCGCCGAAAACTAAAAAATAAATACTAAAATTCTCTCTCTCTCTCTCTCTCTCTCTCTCTTTAAAAAAACAAAATGTATTATAGGGCCAAGAATGTGGCTCAGTGGTGGAGTGCTTGTCTAGCATGTGTGAGGCCCCGAGTTCAATCCCCAGCAGTGCAAAAAATAAAAAGTGTTATGGATCAGGCTTCATGTCACACACCTGTAGTCCCAGCAACTCAGGAGATTGAGAAAGGAGCCTTAGCAACTTGGCAAGACCTGTCTGAAAATAAAAAGGCTGGAGATGTGGTTCATTTGTAAAGTGCCCCTGGTTCAATCCTTAGTACCATTGGGGGGAAAAAAAAAAGTAAAATAAAACCAGAGACCCTAATAGGAAATTAAATCACAGTTTTTCCATATTTGACTTCTAATACCTGCTAGCCATTGACTTGAAATAGAGAATGGGCAGTGTGATGAAGAGGGAACTACTGGAAAGAATCACTAAATGTATGACAGCTTAGCAAGGATAGGCCCTGCTTGGGAGGTGTGGAAAATTGAAGGGATGTTTCCAGGTATGGGAGTCATCTCTGAGCCTGGTGACCTGGCCCCAGGTCATTTCTCAGGGCCCTATTTCTTCCTTTAAAAAGTGTAGTAATAGCATTTAGGTATTTCTGAATGATATCAGCAAATTCTGGAGTCAGTCATTTTCCTTTATAAGAGGGAAAAGGGTACAGATGTAGGTAGGAATATGCTAGAGAAGTCTTTCTCACTTAACTCAGCACCTCAGCCATTCTCATGAACTGTACTACTGTGTCCTTGCCCTCTCTCTTACTGCATATTAGCCCATAAGCAGCTTGTAAAAGGTAAGCTAATATTCACAGACATTGTTTGTGAAAATTAATAAGGCTTATAAAATGATTTTGAGCTTCTTGGATGAAAGGAACTTTGAATGTGAAATTGATATTACCTTCAACATGTCATTTTGGTTGAATAATCATAGTATTATTGACCTCCTGCTGTACTTTTTTTTTTGTACTGGGGATTGAACCCAGGGCATTTAACCACTGAGCCACATCCTCAGCTCTTTTTTATATAAAAACTTAGAAACGGTCTTGCTGAGTTGCCAAGTACCTCACTAATCTGTTGAGGCTGGCTTTGAATTCCTGATCCTCCTGCCTCAGCCTCCCAAGTTGCTGGGATTACAGGCATGCACCACCGCTCCCAGTTCCTCCTGTACATCTTATGATAATTAATTGCTCATTTGTGTGTATCATTTGTATTCCTTGGAAAATTTTATCCACTATAGGTTCAAAATCATTAATATGAAACAAAATCTTTAGTAAATACCACATATGCCTTTGCCATGGCATTGATTAGGTTTTATAGAGTTAAATAGGCTAAATGGGAAGTGGTAACCTGTCTTCCCAGTGACTTGGGAGGCTAATGCAGGAGGATCAAGGGTAGTAATATCAGTCTTCTCAAGAAATGGGCAGATATTTAAACATAGGGATTGCAATTAGCATGTCTACAACTTGAGCCCATCTGAAAGAGAAGTAACAGGGTTTTGTCTTTGAATTTTGTGCCATACCATCTTGCAGAACTAATGTTATTACTTTTGATTTAGAGCTTATATAAGAAAAGCAAAACAAAAACCAGATTCAATTATGAGATGAGTATTAGCCATGTGGTATAAAGTTCTGGTCAGTAGATATTTGGCTGAAAGTATAAAGGCTTGGTATGTGAGGCAAATACTCTACCAACTGAGCTGTATCCCCAGCCCCGAAGCATTTCTCTTAAGAAAAATAGTACAGTATGTGTGATGGGATAAGGTGAAGGAAGTGGTTCAATTTGGGTTTTGTGCCAGGCATGGTAGCACACACCTCTAATCCCAGTGACTCAGGAGGCTGAGGCAGGGGGATTGTAAGTTCTAGGCCCAGCCCAGAAAATTAGGCCCTGTCAGAGGATTTTTAAAAAATAGTAAGACTGAAGGACTAGGGATGTAGCTCAGTGATAAAGCACCTCTGACTTCAATCCTTAGTATCCCCACACATACAACAAAAATATATATATATATATTTTGAGCTTTGTTTTTGTTTTATATTTTGTGGTACTGGGTAAATCCAGGGCCTCTCACCTGCTAGGCAAACACTACATCCCCAGTCCTTTTTCTAATTTTATGAGACAGGGTCTTGCTATGTTGTCTAGGCTGCCATTGAACTTGTGATTGTCCTGCCTCAGTCTCCCAAGTATATTTCTGACTTCTGACTTTTAAAAATAAACTAAAGGATATACTTGGTCTAATTTCTAAAGTGTTTAAGGAGCTTGGCCTGGCTGGGTGTGGTGGTGCATGCAATTTAGTAAGACTATCTCAAAATAAAATATTTAAAAAGTGCTGGCTTGGGCTGGGATTGTGGCTCAGCAGTAGAGCTGAGCACGGGCGGAACCTGGGTTCCATCCTCAGCACCACATAAAAATAAAGGCATTGTGTTGTGTCCATCTACACCTAAAAAATAAAGTGCTAGGGGTATGGTTCAGTGGTTTGGTGACCTTATGTTCAATCTCTGGTATCAAAACAAAACAAAAAACCCAGAAGCTTGGCCTTTCTAAATATGTCACTATATGTAAGTATAAATCCCTTGAACAGGAGTATTTTGGGGGGAGTTTTATAAAAATCAAAGCAGTATTTCTTTTTCCTATTTCATTAAGGTTGCTGTTGAAGAAATCTGGTTGCAGAACACCACGGATTGAATTGGAAGAGATGGGACCTTCACTGGATCTGGTTGTGAGGAGGACACACCTGGCGTCAGATGACCTTTATAAATTATCCATGAAAATGCCAAAAGCTCTCAAGGTATGTAACCTATAACTTGGTGCCATATTTATTTTTATATTCCACCCTTCTTTCCAAAAGGATTTGCAATGTATTAAAGGACATACATAAAAAGATAAATAAATAAAGCTAGAGTCAGAGAGCCAGGAAAGGGAGAAAGAGCCAAAAAGGTAACCATAAAGAATAATAAAAAGAATTACAGAAACCAAGCACCAAGGTATGGCACACACCTATAATCCCAGCTCCTTGGGAGGCTGAGTCAGGAGGATAGCAAATTTGAGGCCAGCTTGGTAACTTAGACTGTGTCTCAAAAATAAAATAAAAAGGTTTGGGAATGTAGCTCAAAAGTAGAGCCCGCCCCTGGGTTCAATCATCAGTTCAACAAACAAAAACAGGCATCAAGTTTAGCTTAGAGCTTTCTGGTAGCCAGGACTGACATTTTTAGCAAAAAAGAATCATTAAAGGCATTGTGAAGACTGGGGATTTAGAGCAAGGATGTATAAACCATATGTACATAAAATATGTTTTGATTTTTACGTGGTTTTAGAAAGTAGACATGTTACCTCTGGAATGATATTAGAGATGGAAAAATGATAGTCACAATTTCTTAAACTCACTCTGGAGATTCTCTTGATGTATGACAGCAGTTAGTGTTTTCTCACAGTGTGGTCTGACAATTCTCCTGGGAATTATTAGAGACACACAATATTGGGGTGTACCTTAAACCTACTGAATTAGAATCTGAATTTTAACAGGATTCCCAAGTGATAAGTATGGATATTATGTTTGAAAAGAAAGAAATATAATGCTATACAATGTACCATTGAGGGGACACTCTTTGATGAAAATTGTTACTAAGATAGTTGTTGAGCTCTTTTTTTTTTTTTTTTTTGCAATTCATAAAAGTAAAATGCCATTTAAAAAGGAAAAAAAAAAAAGATGCACACACTCACACGTTTTCCCCTTTGTTTTGTAGCCAAAGAAGAAGAAAAATATCTCCCATGATACTTTTGGTACAACTTATGGAAGGATTCATATGCAAAAACAAGACCTAAGCAAACTACAAACTAGGAAAATGAAGGGGTTGAAAAAACGACCTGCAGAAAGGATAACAGAAGATCAGGAGAAAAAATCAAAGAGAATGAAAAAATATTAGTGAATTTAGACAGCCAGTGCAGTTTTATTCTGGTCTCTTAAAAGAGTTGTCAAGCTTCAGTACATTCAGTTTCTTACAAGATTTTATCATAGGGCTGGGGATGCAGCTCAGTGGTAGAGTACTTGCCTATCTTGCAGGATGTTTAGTCCTCAGCAGCACGCGTGCACATGCGCACGCGCACACACACACGATTTTATCATATATTTTTATCATGATAACTATATTATTATGAACAATAATACAAAGTAAGCCTGTTACTTATATGGTTAAATCCTGGTGTACTGTCTTCTCTCTGATGTGATATCCTCTGCCTCTCAAAACTTCTCACTGGGTGAATGAAGGAGAAGGGATCTCCACAACCATTGGTGTTATTTAAGTTTCTAGGTTGGGTCTTGGATAAAGGGAGAAAGTAATGGGAAGCAGAAGTGAATCAAAGGAGGTATATATACATGTACATTCTC